AGTGGATGAGGACGATTTCATGGGGAATTGGAAGCGGAGGATCGATGGGAATAGGAGAAATTTTAGGTGATGGAGGTCGTCGAGGCTTGAATGGCATCCTAGCTTTTCCTTTCCAACGTGATTTGCCTGTCGATTTCGGTCCTAAGGAGGTCAACTTAGTGTCGAGCTTCGTTTTGGTAGAACCATCCGCAGTCTTTGGGCGCGGCCGCGACCCAGCACCTCCTCTTCCCGGTATACGAAAAGTCTTTGGTGGTTCGTTCTGAGCCGCCTGTTCGCTAAGGTTACTCAAGGGAATAGGTGTTTTACCCACTACTGGTGCTGGCCGAGGCCGCGAACCCGAGCCTCCTCGTCCAACGACACGAACAATAGGCTTATCATTCTCCGATTGAGTATTTGATGGTCCACGTGCTATTTCGGCTGAAGTGTTTGCCACACCTGTGTCGTAGGGCTCTGGGTCGGTCATATTTATAGGAAGGAAAGCCGACGTCGAGAAAGCTCTTGGTCGTGAACCTTGACCTCCTCGACCGACGTGTCGTACAGTGCTCGCCGCATCGGGACCGCGTGGAAATTGAGATATAGGATCAGAATTTTGGCGCGCTTCAATGCCATAGGATGCTTTGAACCAAATCAACGATGAAGTCTACGTGGAGCGCTGATAGAACTCACATGAGGAAGCAAAGGACGCAGATGACGTCGACTCCAATGGAACCAGTTGAATATCCTGTGGTTGTGAAAAAGACGCTGCCCTCTCTGACTGCACAGACGGCCGAGGTGATCTATTGTTGACAAACGCCGCCATAACTGATCGCGATAGACTGCGTTTTTGAAGGCTACTTTTAGAGAACGATGAACTTGTTGGAGAGTTGGATGGTGAGGAGCCGATGAGTGATGGGGGAGGGGGTAATGAGGAAGAGGCTTCTCGAGCAAATACGTCCAAGGTTGAAAAGTTGTGAGGATAAAACCTGTCCTGCCCAGACTGTTGTAAGTCAGCCAACTTGGCCGCCTTTCTTGGAGTTCCAAAGAATGGTTTGCGACGCTCCTGGAGCGACGGCGGGGTTGAAGGGCCCGACATTGAATAGAACGACCCTCCAGCAGAGTTGGGGTTACCTGTAAGAAATGAATGGGAGTAATATTAAGGATATGGTAAGTCGTACCTACCAGAGCAAACATCACGCTAAGCGAGAAGGATGATGGTGAGAAACAACGAAAGCGTCGATGTCCACCAAAGATCAGGTAACCAGGGTGGAGATACCAAATTGTGACTTCATCAATACACGGTACACAGTCGGTGTTCAAGTCCCAATTGCTGTGCCCGCTCCCCTGGGCCTGTGGAGGCGAATCATGAGATCAAGGAACTATCAAGCGATCTATAATTGAGCAAATGGGTATTCCGCCATCTCGTCGTTCGCCGACGATGAGTTGAACGATGAACGAATTTTAATTGAAGCTGTACCCATCTTGTTCAACTGATTATAACTAATATTAACAGATCATTTTTACATATCTTGTCAACTGAAGAGCTTGATACACTTACTTCTGAAGCCTTCTATACATGTGCGATGCGAACTCGCAAGTGTAAAATTAGATGGAGAAAGCGTCCGGAACGGCCCGCTCGTACGATCCGGATCTGATGCTTTCATTTTTGAGAGCATGTTGGGCAACTTGACTCGCTCCCGTTTTCAACTTAGTTTTTTCGATAACATTTTTTCCTCGCTTGAATCCCCGAATTGCCTCTAGCATCTCATACACTCCACCACAACCAATTTATCTATAAAGCTCAAATTATTATTTTTTGGCTGTTTCATACATGGCGACATCTGCTTTCGTCAGGGTCTACGGAAACACGATGGCGCTCATCGCTCTCGATTTGGCGGGGTTCCGAATACGGAACGCTTTCATTTTGAAACTCTCAAATAAACAACATGACGCGTAATTTCGCCTCCTCAAAAAGCTGTCCAGGCTCAAGCGGGGCTTGAAGCTTCTCTCTGATCACATCAAAACAACAACCTTCAAGCACATGGCTTTTCCAGCCGTTGTCTGCACTTGATCCATGCGGCAATGGCATACTCCAGATTATCAAGGTTCAATATCTCAATCGCACATGAGCTCGGAGTCAACCGTTCTACATGTACAAATACATGTCCTCGTACGTCTCTAGGATCGGGATCCACGGCCCGCACATTTTCCGCGATGTGACAATCGTGAACGCACACCAACACCGCTGAGAGATAATCATAGTATCGCCTGGGTACTAGATCCCATATCTAAACCTATTCATGGTTTAAAAAGTACTCTGCTATTGCAACGAACATGAAATACGAATAGCAGCTCTCAGGGTGCTATAGAAAGACACCACCATATGCAATGTTGATATTCTCGCCCAACTTTTGCCTGCCATTGCATGTCAATTTACTCCACTGTGATAGTAGCAATGCTCACGGATATCGTATCTAACGGAGATCCAGTATTCACCGTCTCTCACGAATCAACGTTGACGAAATCACCGTATTGCCCGTGACAGCAGTGCGGCTGCTCATCGCATTCCCAGATGAAAAAATGCCGGTCGAAATAGCAAGGATAAGATTCACGTCGTCCACGCTCCAGCTCCACATCCACACCAATTTTCTCCGGTGGCTATTTTCAGAGCTCTCAGCTGTACAACCCATACACAACTATCCGCGGGAGGAACTATTTTAGGAAACAATAAATTTCAGAAGCCCAGGAAGTATGTAACTAACGAGCTTGCTGGCATTCGTGAAAGCAACTAAGGTCTATAAATATCGCGGATCTTTTCGGACCCGCAAGCAATGGCACTAGGTCAGAGGAGTCAGGACCCAACACACCATGTGTCTATTGGTATACCGGTGATTTATCCATTCACTGAACTTCCAACGGACTGCGAACAATGTATATACTTATCGAAGTGGACGATCTATTATCCTAGCTCTTTAGATCATTTTCGACGTTGGTCAAGCGCAGATGGATACGGGGTTAGTACAGTTCTAACTTGAATTTCTATCAGCTTATGAGCGTACACGTATAAAAAATATCACAGCCATGTTTCCCGTTGGTAAGCCGAATTCAATATGCATCAGAGCTCTGCATATCGTCTACTGACGCACTAATTCCTCCACATGCTATGGTCCGGAACATCTTCTGTTAGATCTGCTCGTCCCAATCTAATCCCGATCATAAAGTTACCAAATGGTGTGTATATTCCATTATTCAAATATAATTTTGAAACAAACCTGTTCATGCGTACAAAGGACCTACTGAAATGCTTGTGATAAATAGACTATTACCCCTCGTTGATACACGTATGCCCTAGCTGATACTCCATGTGTGAGTGGTGATTTTTGGAAATAAGGAATTGTGTACATATGGACATCTTATAAACATACTTTGGCGAGATTCTGTAAATCGTGTGCGTTAAAGGCTCATCTTGCTTCTGAATCTTGATTCAGGCCCAGAGGAATCGCGTCTATCTCCTGGTCATATTCGCTCTACTGACCTTGATAGATACTGTATGATTATCTGTTCATCATTCGTCATCGGTCGCAGAAAGACCGGTGTTCAACAGTTAGACATCATACAGGCACACGAAGTTCGTCCCTCATCATGGATAATTTCAGACTGAATTCTACAATCCACCTCCCCCCGATTACAACTCAACAACTATACCTTCTGTCGCACTTAGATGCAATAGTGGAAGTCGGTTAGTGATTAAGTTTATGTTTTTATTCCACTCCTACTGCCGATTTCTGAGCTTTGACACAATAGTTATCCGTCCGTCATCATTCACAGAAATCTCGGTATTAACCAATTGCAGTAAACAAATACTAGTAAACATCTTAGAGGCACAAGATGTTCGTTCCCCATCATGAATATTTGATTGATGGAATTCTACAATCCATCGTCTTTTGATCATCTTAACAACCTTTCGCCAACTTGCAACATGAAATATCTTACACCAAACAGGGCATAAAGCCATTTTTTATCTCAAGGTCTGCTTTGAGATTCAGACGGGACATAAAATTGGGAGTCTTACGCCGTTATGCATTAGGGTCATTCATAAAGATGGACTCGTTCAGGATTTCACTTTAATATTTCTAATTTCGATCTTTGCTTTTAATACTAAGGTTTGTGCTGGGAGGTTGTATTGCCATTGACAATTACACAGCTCGGGGGAGTAAACAAAGAGTTCTCAACACTCCGACAAATCGAGCTCGATGGTAAGCAGTACACCTGTTATACAGTCAAATTTCTGTTGGAATACAAGCTCGTAATTCAAACTATTAATTCAGGTTCTTAATTGATGTTAAAGCTATGCATACCAATGCCACAGATATGAATTTTTGCTGTGGACCTATTTCGAAGTAAATAAATTATACTCGAATTGTGTATTTATTTAAAAATGTAGAAAATTAAGAATACAGAGTTTGCAACACGGTTTCCTGATACTCGAGATTGATTATGTCATTGCAACAAATGCCGTTATTATGACTCGTGACAGCTGCTTCAACTAAAAATTATACCATGACCTTAGCCAATTAGAGGAGCAATTAGGTCCGGATTGGCAACGTTGTAGACTTCTAGTTGATGAGCATCCGGGACAGGCTAGTGTATGCGCTATTAATAGCTATACCAGTCGCCGCTAATAATAGCAATGCATACAACAGGAAAGGAGTTGAATGCACCTGCATTTCGACCAATGCTATTTATGCTAATTGGTTAGATATCTTTAGCTGCTGGTATGTACTGTAGGGTATCTGATACTGTATGCGGTAGCTCTCTTTTACGATAAAGCATCACCTTTTGCATGGTGGTTTAAGTTCAATACCTATCCTTTATAGTGTAAGAGCTAACTAACTTATTCAAAGCAAAATCGAAAACATTTGCTTCATGTACATGGCCTTTTCTCAGCGATGTAATACAGAACGTAGTGGTTAATGTGGGACCGCACCTTCAGAATGTTGGACGTGTCGGAGAAAAAAGCTGATTTCCGATACGGGGAATCGAACCCCGAGCTACCGCGTTTGAACAGAACATCAAGTGACTAATGTCATTGAAAGGCGGTAATGTTAGCCGTTACACCATATCGGAGATATAATACTAATTTAGCATAGGACTAAGAGGCAAATATCCTCCTAGAATAACAGAGGATGAGTCAGAACATTTCCTAGCTCCCCCACTGTGATTTTTTCTACGTATGTTATATAAAATCAATAATACATTACCCATAGCCGTTTCCTCGTCCCACTTCACTCCCGTTGGGCCACTTACCTAGGGAGTGGCGGTCTTGATTAAGTTGATGGTATTATAGTAGCTGTATAGTGGTATTGTTTATACTAGTTGGAAGTAGTAATACAGATAATTCATTTGATCAATCACATAGAAAAACATCATTAAGAAATATCTGCACGTCTATCATGACTCTTCCATGCACTAGTAGGACGATCCTTTGGCAGAGATTTCTGTTGTAAATCGAGTGTGCGCAGTGAAGAGTAGAATATAAAATATGAATTGATAATCTACCACAGGCCTCTAAAGAGGCCTTATATACTAAGTAACTAATTAACTAAAATATACTACGAGTATCTACAAAGTGTCTCGGGCTGAGTAAGCGCTGTGTCGGGCTTACTAATTCCAACAATTTCCAACATCCGTCGATCACATTCCATATTTTGTCCTCGACGTCAAGCGGTTTCGAAGGGTGAATATATCGATAATATTCAGCATTGTCTAGTGAGCTGATTAATCAGTAATTTCGTACAAAAATGGTACTCACCTTTTTGACCTTGGTTACAATCTGTGTTCATGTGGAGTTTGAAGATTTTAATTGCAACAGAACGCCCATGACGTTTACCCATTTGAACAAGAGTCGATGCTTCTGTTGTAATAGCATCCTGTGTATGATCGTAGTCAATTGCAAGAATTAGGGAAGACGCGCGAAATATTGACATCTTCTAGCACAAGGATGCCAGATAGTTGCGGTATTCCATGACTCTACGAGAAGATGCAGCATCTTGTGGTAAAATCAATGATTGCACCCACTATCTTTATAAGAATGTGCCGACCACGTTTCCAATGTCTTAACTTTATACATGCCGGACGAACAACACTTAATTAACGAAGTAGCTATTGTGGTATCATGTAAGGAACGCCACAGCACATAAATTGAAAGGCGATGCGATAGACATGATGGCATCAGTGTCTTATTGAGCTTCTGTAAACTGAGATGTACGGCGTACAGTCAAACCTCGCTCAACCCACACCTCCCATACTCATACCCCCGTGGGTCCACCGAGGGGTATGTGTTAGAAGAGGCTCGACTATACAAGGAGACTCCGCACAGGTTAAGGAAGCTGACGCTTGTGAGAGATAAGTAGAGCACTCAAGAACACTGGTGGGGCTTCTGAGGAACGAATGAGTATACATTCCTCGGAAGGAAGATGGACAGCTCATGTGTGACAACGCTTCCAACGACAGCATGTAATAGGCATGTCGGAGGGTGGGCGTGCTGTTCGCCTCCACACGCACCACATCAAGTTATTGCATCTGCTGAAGATTGGGATGTTGTGAACCACAGTTGTGCCTGGCAGGTAGCTTGTTGAGTTGGCGGGAAATAGCTGTGCGGAGGAGTATGAAAAGAATTTAAATGTCCGCACAGAAAAGTTTACTTGATGCCGGCAAACGAACGAACAGCTAAAGAGCTAAGCGCATCCTATAAAGCGCGGCCCATCAAATTGGGAACACAAACTGTTGGCGGCTATCTGCGCCTAGAGTGTGCCCAGCTACGAGATCTAGGAAATTTTATCGCCTCTCCCATAGACGATGGCCTCTTGAAGTTTCTCGGCACCCGATGTAAGCGGAGCGTTGGCAGAGTTGAACGGAGAGCAGAGAGACACCCTGAATGAAATATGATATCTGTGATGGAAGACCAGTGTTTCAGGTTCAATCCATAGAGCGTGTTGATAAGTGAGTTGAAAAGAACAACCAGCGGGAAAGTGAGCGGAGCGGCCATTCCACAGAGCATCGAGCAGAAGCCGCTGATAATGCCATGCTAGCCCAGAGCATATAGAAAGCAACATGGATAGCTATGCCTGTTGACAACTTGTCAGCTGAACGCTTTACTAGAGGCATATAGAGGCAAAGCACACCTACTTGTTCCACCCAGACGGTTGTGGCCCTCCCAGGTCGTATACATCAGTAATTGGAATCACCACTGTCTCCGTCTTCCATGATCACTTCCACCTCGATCGCTATCCATTCTCCCATCTCTCTCCGTACTCTAGCTACGTCTCTCACCCCACTCCTCCTTCCTTGGTCTCTCCTTTCTGCCCTCCTTCTCCCGATCATTCTCCCACCTTCGATCTCGTCGATCCCAAGACCTCTTCGCCTCTTCCACAGCCCCTCGATTGAATTGGTCCCCATACCCCTCCTCCTCACCCCCATGCACCGTACTAGGGGTCTCACTCCCCGCCATCTCGCGTTTCCTCCTGTTAATCAGCTCCAGCGCTCGTTGGCGTTCGGAAGACTCGCGCGTCAATCGGGCTTGAACTTCTGGTTGGGCACCGGATGAGGAGGGAATGGGAGGCGGGGGCATATGTCGTTTGTGTGCGGGTTGGGATTTGGAGGGCGAGCGGGAGGAGAGCTGCTTTGTTATTGATGTGAGGGGATCATGTGCGGATTTGCGCTGTGTTTCGCGTTTCCTGTGTATGGGATTAGAATAAAAGTGTAGTTGAGTGGGAAAGATACTTACTTGCGAGCCTGCTCCTTCTCTCGCTCTCGTTCTCGTTCCCAGTCCTCTCCGTATGCAAGCCTCATTCTAGGACGTCCGGGGTCAGCGTACGGTGCTAATTCTTCTTCTTCATCGTCTGGAGCTGGTCGAGCAGAATACCATGGTTTGAGGTCCTTCTCTGACGGCGCTAACGGTACGCCTTTCTCCGTTTCGACGGGCGCAGCTTTCTTTGTGGCTTTGAGTGAAATTGCGAGAGAATTCTGTAAACACATCAACCCGACATTTCATTGATACTAATAGCTGATACATACGTGTTCTAAGTCCTCAAAAAAGTTGATATGCCCGTTCGTGGTTGGTAGCTGGGGACCTGTTGAGGTTGAAGTTGAGGCCCCCGCCAAATGCGCCATATCGTCGTCGTCTCGCCGTTTCTTCTTCTCTGATTTATCTGCAAGCCCGGCTTTGTCTCTAAGCATGTCTATGCGAGCTTCCGAGTCCTATAAAATCGTCAGATGTGGAGAAAACATTGCTAGCGGTTCTGGAACGCACAGCAAGCATCATCCTTCCTTCCTCCTTAGCCTCCTTCAGCTTCGCTTCCTCTTCATCCTTTCGTACGCGCTCGATATTATCCCTTCTGTAGGGATGATATGATTTGTGGTGGGCGATGTTGAGTTTGCCCATCGTAGCGAGGAACGTGGAAGACAACGCAAGATCTAGATGCTGAGCGTCCTGAAAAGCACTTTGTTTGGTTATTCCAGGCAAAGCAAATAATTCTATTTATAGCCACCCAATGAAAATATTCCAAACATGGAATTACAATGAAATACACTTGAACCCTCAACGTCTACTGCTTTTTTTCACAAATCACAGTTACACAGTTTTAATCTTCTGCTGAGTACCGAAGCAGTATTTGAAAGCTTCGATATTAGCATGATTCATAAGGTAGATCTCCTTCACTCGACTGCATCATATGAACTGTGATCTTCTATGACCTTGCACGGCTCAGAGTGTTTGAAAGAGGAGATGGCTTAGTCACCAGACGTCCAACATTGATTTTTATTTTACGAAAATCTTAATACGGGTGAGAGTCAGAGCTTCAGTTTACCATATTTGGTAACATAGTTAAGCTAAGTTGCATTTACATGGCGACATGGTCTAGTAGCATGATTCCTCGTTTGGGTTTACCAGATGATTCGAGGAGGTCCAGGGTTCAATTCCCTGTGTCGCCCTTTTTGCACTGGTTAAAATGTAAATTGAACCCCAGAGTCACCAGAAATGATCCGGGAACTCGAGCTATCTCAAGATATATTTTCTTCATTTAGATAGCATTTAGTTCTACCTCGTATTTATCAAATATAATAACAGAGACATGGCACTCCACCCGAATATAAAGGAAACCCACCAAATCATTCGCGTTTAAAGGCGAAATAAATTGGAGGTTCCACATTGACCCCGCGCGTAGAGTGCAGGGGGTCAGCGGGTCACTAAGAAGTACGCCAGTGATGAAGAATGTGTGAAAGTAAATGAAGAGACTACTTGGAATATTGCACGCTCCCAGAAATGTTCGCCTCGGTCAATCGAGATTATCATTAAGTGTGGAGACACCCCCTGATCCTTCTCCCGTAGAGTTAGCATAGGCTGGGAATCGGAATCAACAAGAGGGAGCTCTTTAAGAGCAGAAAAGTTGGAAAGACACTCCTGGTCGACCAAAGGATGAAAATATAAAGAGTTAGGATCACCCCTTTAACGCTAAAGTGAGAAAGCGTAAGGTACTTTACGAGCGGGAATATGTCTAGGCGACAACGTCTCGCAAAATGCACGATTTCTGTCATGAATCACGACACATTCCCGATAACTCTAAATCCTCGAGGGGCATGATGAAAAACGGGCTTTGAGCAACATCTTTTGACACTTCGCCCGCAATTTAAATTTCATTTAGTCTGTGGTCCAACGCCAAATCTAGAACCAGTGACAAACCTTAAGGTTTGCTAATTCAAAATTATGAGGCCAGGCTGATTCAGTATTTCGGAGCACGAGACTCTAACCATCGAGCGACAGAAAGGAAGGCCCTTACGAAAATGCGACAAGACATCCGACAGCCATTCGTTCGTATGGATATTTTGGAGGGGTAGTCCTTTCGCTCCACGTCTTTCTCCTAGTCGCACCATATAAGTTCTAGCCACTCGAGGTGGGATGCATCGCAAATCTATGTAAATATCATTTCCATGACTTTGAATGTTGCGCCAACAGTGAACATAGGAAGACGCCGACAGCGGTGGATTTGATTAGAAAATGGCTATTAGTAGCTTGCAGGATCGTAGATATCGCCTCGATATTTTCCAGGAAAATAAAGAGTGATATCGAGGAGGCGGTCGGTGGGGTATCGAAAAAACTCGTCAATAGCTGAAAAAGCGAATATCTTCGTCGACCGAACTTCTCTCAAGAGGCTTAAAGCACTGCAAGAGCATGACACTTGATACAGCTACAATAGCCGAAATAATAATTACGCCCGTGGATCGCGCACTAAGTTCGCAACCATATGCAACGTATGGGAATATGTCGAGTATAATTTTGTTGGGGAGTGGCGTCACGCCCTATTAGCGGGGGATGCGCGAAAAGACCCGAACACTAGAAGAACTCGTATGGTGAGTGGGATTTAGAGCAGAGATGGCTGGGAATGTCGTGACGGGGTTCTCGATGTGCACGGACAACGTCTCAGAGTAACCAAGGATCGAATACCATAATAGTAGCTGAATTGTAATGGCATAACTTACAGTACTGATATCCTGGGAACGACTCGAATGTATCGCAGTCAGCCCTGGAACGACTTAGATGCACCAAGAAAAAGATTCGGGGTGGTCAGGTATCTAGGACTATCAGTTCGTCCTAATGACCTGGCAACCTCGCATCTTTTTCCTGTTGACTCGTTCGTAAAGAATTTATTCAGTATATAATCAGCTACCAAGCTCTACAACCTTACGAGTATTGGCAGCCAGAGCAAACCAGCTGCTCTGTGATCATGACGTCTTGAATATAGAGATGGATATCAGTGATTTGCGGTCTTCGTAATGGATGATGTGCCCAACAGTCTTCGATAAGTTGCCAAATAGTGTCCGGTACATCCTGTGGGCGTGAAGGCCTCTTGTGCAAGATAACATTCAAGATGGCAGACATCTGATTAAATTCGTAGAAGGGTATATGGCCACTGTATATCTTATTTTGATATTAATGTCCGAAACATCTGATTATCTATTTCCATACCTCGTATACAAGCATTCCGAAAGAGAATATGTCGCTCTCAAATGTGGGCTTGCCTTCGCTTCCATCTCTATCATTTGGGCGGAGAAGTTCAGGGGCCATCCATCGAGGGGTCCCTACTCCAGAAGAAGACTGAAGATCTTCTCCTGAAGAAGCCTTCAGAGAGTTTACAGGATCGAGAAAATTGAGGAAATCAACAAGTCTGTAGTGAAAGGAAGAGCGAAGGGAGCCCAGCCGGAATGTTGCAAGTCCAAAATCAGCTATCAATATCGTCCCATCATCTGATATGAGGATATTATCCTAACTCATTAAGGGCGCCTAAGCAAATTATCCAGTATCTGAGCGAAGCATCAGGCTCACCCCCTTTAGATCTCCGTGAACAATTCCTCGTCTTCGAAGGAACATTAAGCCGTTAGTAATTTGTGACACCTGTGATTTATATTAGTACTTGCAATTACGAAAAGGACGATGGGTACGCACTAGGTTGATTCTTGAGGTATCTGGGTACTTTGAGAGGTATTCCACTACTGTCCCATTCTGCAGCCATGACGAAATGATTCCAAGCTCGTAATCACGGTAGATGACACCAAGAAGAGGTAATATATGTGGGTGTTGAATAAACTGCATTACGAGCACCTCATTCAAGAACTTCTGTTCATAGCATAAGAATCAGCGAGTTACACAAGAAAATATAGGTAAATCTACCTTATGGACAGTATATTTATTAGCTTGCCAAATCCTGAGACGCTTCACAGCAACAGGCGCCGTGTTTACATATCCACAATAAACATTTGCAGACGCCCCTACGACGATGTTTTGCTGCTCGCTTATCACTACATTGGCAAGTATCATAGAAGCTGGCAGAATATCCCAGCTATTTGATAGTCGAACAAAGAGTAGATGTAAAATAGATAAAAGATTTTCGGGAGCATACGGAAGAATCCTCTACTTACAACAAGTCAGCTCCGGATTGCAAAATAACGCTCGACACTCACAAGCAATATGTTGTAAATGACTATCATGACAAGCTGTCTTACAATAGTGCTGAACCTCGGTGCACTCCTCTCCTGGTTATCGTCTTCGTACATCTGTTCGTTGCAAGAAACGATGCGGATGAGCTACGAAAACAAATCTGCATCAATGGTACATCGGATACATTACAGCACTTCTCTCGAGGGAAGGGACAAATTTGGCAGTTAAACCTAATCTTGGGGATATAAATTATGCTTACAGTTTAGAAACACGAAAAGAATTGGCATTAGGTATTCCTGTAAATAGCCAAATACAATTAAACATACAAAAAGGATGGAAATAACGAAGTTCTTAATTAATCACCGGTCTCCTCTATGCATGAATTCGTAACATGCCTTTCCAGGCTCCACACCTAGAGTATCCTGTACCTGGCTCTGATTCATCTCGCAGAATTCCGTAACATTCCGGATTTTGTTCATAACGTAGCCTACATTCTTGATTGTTATGCCAGGGAGGCATCGTAGCAACTCTTCGGCTGCTGCATTCACACCAGCCCCGACATCGGGGTCACTGTCCGCGCCTACTGTGATAGCTGCTGTAGCGTCAGGCTCGGCATTGTTCAATTTGAGGTCTTTGAAAATATCCGCAGTAGCATACGGAGACGAAGACCATATAATCCGCACCCGAGGGAATGATAATGTGAGTAAAACAATCTTCGATTGAATGCTCGGTGCAGAGTAATCACCCTCCGCAGAACCTTCCGGTTTCTTTTTCGGTGGGCATTTGGCTGTAGATTTAACATAGGATTTCATTTGGGAAGGGATCTGCACGGAATATTCATCATTAACAGATAAAGTGAGAATAGTTTATATATATCTTACTTCCAAAAAAAAAGCCTTATCTTCCTCAAATTCAATCAACAGGATCGGATGTTTGTAGTACGCGGACATGACCTCGCACTGAGTATATCTGTTATCCTCCACATCAGCCTTGCTGCTCCTTTGTGGAACTTCTAACATGGAAACTTACAATCTCCCGCTGTTGAAACTGGACACGAGGTCCGGTAAACTTTTCCGTTCAACGCAGATATCCGGAGTGAGGATATAATCCCCCACAGTAAGGGTGGCGGGTACAACGAGTAGATTTGAGGCATGGAGTAAGGATGGTAGTGTTGATCCAAACTCTCGCATATCCACAATGACCTACTCATAACGCCATAATTAGACAATAGATGAACCGATGAAGTGCAAAACCTGCCGTTGATGGCTCCGTGTTTAGCTCCTTTCTTCCACCCGCTACTCGAGAGCTGATGGTTTTGATTATCTTGTCATCCCACCCTGCCCCTTCTCGCGTTTCTTCTAGCAGAGGCATAAGCATAGACTGCCTTTCGATCAGTAGAGAAAAAACGAAGAGGGGAAGAAGAAACAAACTCCGCGCTCCTTGATCAGCTTTTCGAATGCCTCCTTTTCCTTTCGTATACCCGCAAGATACTTGTGCTCCTCACACGAATTCCCATACACCATATGATACACGCGCACACCCATCCCAGGATGGGCACTCCTGTACACCTCGATCCTCCTCACGAAATCTATATTTGGTTCGAACATGATGATAAAGCGCGGTTGTATCTCCACAAGGAGCCGGTCATCAGTATCGTCTGAGTACGCTCGGATGAGAACCGTTTGTTCGGGAGTGAGGAGACCAAAGTGTGAGTCGAACTCCGATTCTTCCAACGTTTTGAGCAGTGTCATATCTGCATCTTCCGAATTTGGCGGTAGATCAGGCTGGGTCTCCCAACTATGGGGAACGATCAGCGTCATCCCAGAGAAAGCATAGAAATGACGAACAAGTCTGCCGCCTCACTACGTATCTGGTCAATAACCATGTTCTTTGAACCGCCCGTGGTCCTACGACTGCTGCTCGCAACGACAGGCGCACCGCCCCTAACTCTCCTGCGACTCATTGCTTTCTCCTGGCGTTTCTCATCTTTCTTCTTCAG